TGCTCTTAAGTTTAACAATTGCCTTCTTTTATGGCTTGATAGTGTTTTAATTGTTTTATCTTTACTCAAATGTTAGCAGTTTTATTTAAGTGAAAATGAGAACAGCATGTGTGTTCAAATCCCAACCAAAGCCATTGCATTCATTTTTGCACAAATAACCTTTTGAAAGGTATGAATCCCTCTTCCCCCACCAAAACTACAGGGCAGACTGATCTCTCTTGTCTTGGATGGCAACCAATGTTAGAAGGACAACTGAGAACTAGTTGGGCAGAACAATTAATCAACAAGCCTTCTCTTTACATAAGATCTCTGGTTGTACAGAATTTTAATCAGTTCTTATTGACAATGCTTTAAATTAATTTTGGTTATTTTCTGTATGAGTTATCAAGGATTTTTATCTATTCAATTAAATCAGTTGTGACATCATATTTTACAATCTTAAAGAATTCTAATTTTTAAATCATTGAAAGTAAAACAAAGAAATCCAAATAAAGCTTGAAGAAGTGGCAACATATTGAAATTAACTGTCAAAAGAGATTGATGTGATAATTATTTTAAAATGGCCAGCTTTTTTAATCAAATCTTATTAAAGAGGAAGCATTGATGAATTTTAAAAATGCTAACACATAAACATTAATTACCATTAAAAAAAATCCAATGAAAGTTAACAAAAATGAATAAAACTGTTTATTCATGATCAGGTCTTGCAAATTCTACATGATATAACAATAAAATATTGGATAACTTGAAATGAGGCCGTATAACTAATAATTTAAAAGTTACATTATGCTTTATATCATAACATTGATTCTCAAAATGAGTCATAGCATTTCCTTGGGGGTACTATGAACTCTAAGAGAGTTTGGTGTTCAAGGGTGCTGTGGTGGTGAAGGCATAATTTTAACAGGGGAAGTAAGATTGCATAACTCTTTTATTCCATATTCAGGTTCAATGATTGTTGTCAATGTGGAAAATGGAATTGGCATGCTGAGTTTGAATTCTGGTTTAATCTGTTGGATTCACCTTCATCCTAATTCCTTTATATGGTGCTAAAATCTGGAAGTCAAAATGTCCAGCAGCTTCAGTAGTTCAGTGCAATGATTACTTGTGATTTTGGCACTGCTATAATACAAGAAAATAAACACTTATGTTGTATTAACTCTGCTCCCTTACCAGTGCAATTTTAACACAAGGGTTACCATATATCTGAAGAGGGTCACTAGGAAAGAAAAGTTTTAAAAACCATTGTATTATAGAATAGATATTTACAGAGCTTAGCTTAATCTGGCACAAGGCCACAAGTATGGAGTCTTTAGTGACCACCACTCGACTACTTATAATGCTTTGATTTTTAGTTTTCATTTGTTAATAACTGAAATGTTGATATAGCTAAGGAATATTTTGTATTTACTAGAATTTCTAAAGAACTAATGGATTTATTTTTTAATCTGACCTATTTTTTACTACTTGAAATGTTATTTTTAGCCATATTTGAGCAGACACTCCATTTATTTTTAAATTGTATTTTATTTTGTCTATTGGCCTGTACATTTGGGAAAACTTATGAAAGAAAATGTGTGTGCCAGCAGGTTTTAAACATGCATCCTCTTTTGAAGGAGAAACTACAGTTTGAACGGATGTGTTTTGATTGCTCAGCTATGAAGAGCTTAATAATCGAAAAAAGTTCTATTTTTCTTTAAAGCACATTCACATATTCAGATTTTCTTGAAAGTCATAACTACTCAGTTTTTTTTAAGTTTTTTTTTATCCAAAATGTAAACAAAGCAACTTCAAAGAATTAATGGATCTACTTTTTAATCTGACAGTTTTTATTACTTCAAAAGTTATTTTTAGTAGATACCTGTATATATTTGATATGTAATAAGTATTGCAGAAAGTTGTCAAGTTGTTTGTATACAAATGGAAAGTTTAGTAAATGAAACAAAAATGTATTCAAGAATTATTTTAACACTATATATATATATACTGTACATATATTGAAGTAATTTGGATTAAAAATAAAATTCATTATTTCTTTAGAAATTGCTTTGTTTATATGTTGGATAAGTAACTGAACTTATAGAAAACTTTAGAGAAAATAGTCTGGGTGAAGAGAAAGTGATTCCTTAATAAAGGCAGGAAATAGAACCTTGTTTGCTGTGTTTTCAGTAAGCTGGAGATGCAGGTTTGATTCCTACCACAAAATGCATTTTCCTTTACTAAGATTTTTAGAATGTGCATCAATAAACTGTTTAATAAATAAAAATGGAATGTCTGTTTCAAATATTGAGTTTCCACTATAATAAAAATGCCTGATTAAAAATTAAATCCGTTAACTCGATATTTGAAATGGACGTCCCATTTTTATTTATAAAACATTAACATTTCCCTTCCTCTCTGCCATGTGATGATAGCCTATGGGTAAAATCTCTGACTGATACCAAATTGGACATCTAGCCACTGAAGAGCTGTGATATAACAGCAAAACAGTCTGTCTGTGGATTACAGACAGACAGACAGACAGACATACACATACATATATATATATATATATATATATATATATTATATATATATATATATATATATATATTTGGTTGGATTGATCTGAGTTTGTGACCCTGGGTTTCGTGCTTTTGCGATCGTCAGATAAACTGATTAATTTTTTAAAAATTTGGGTTTATGTAGATTGCGTGTATTGGTGTTATTATGGGAGTGGGGGGAATCGTCTTCGTGATGTCATCGTGCTAACGCATGTCTGTACATCAGATGAGGTACACAGATACACATATGCACTTATATATATATATATATATATATATATATATAATGACAAAGTGGAATGAAATACATCGCAAGAAAACTTTACATTTTGTCATGCATTATTCCTCCGCAATATTGTTCTACACACACAAGTTTTCTTGTAATGTATTTTGTCCTTTAGGACATCATCGGGCTAAATTTTTTTTTTTTTTTTTTTTATGTTGGTATGACTACACATGTACACAAACAAGGAATGCTATGTACTTTAGCCAATTTCATTAAAAGAAAAATTTAAATTTAAAGTTTGCTGCATTTCTTGTTCATGCACATGTGTAGTTGCACAAACATAACAGAATTAGTCTGAAGTCTTAAAGGATGAAACGTGTCACAAGAAAACTTTTCCACTTTGTCATATATATATATATATATATATATATATATATGTGTGTGTGCTTTCAATGTAGCATTGATTGTTTTACATTGTCTTGTAAATGATTTTTGTATGTTGAATAGAATCAAACAAGTCAACAGCTGTGAAGTATTTTATGCTAGGTTGTAAGAGTGGGTGGATGTTAAATCAGGTGTTAAGGTTGGGTTGTTGAACAGATGCTTTGAATATTGAATGGAAAAGATTTCTTTTAACCTATATCTATATCCTGTCCACGTAATAAGAACATATACTTGTTTTAAAAAACATGCTTTTGTCTGTATTATCCTTGCAAAAATACAAAATACTGCCTAGAAGACCTTTTTTTACGGTTAATGAATAAATCTGTTTTAACTTTTTCTGAATGAAAAGTAATTAGGCTTCCATAAGCTTTTGACGCTAAAAAATATGAGGCTCTTAAGATTTCCAATGTGTTGGTTGTAGTGCCTAGCATTACCAGAGTAAAAAATTCATTTTTTTCTTTTATACTTTAAGAACTGTGAAATCTTTAGCAATCATGTATTAAGGTACAATAGTTTGTTGATGTTGACTAAATGGGTTTTGATAGGTAATTTAAATCTGAAGAATTTGATAAATTAGCTAGTTTTAATACAAGACATATTTATTTTTGAACATGTTGAAAAATAATTATATTATTTTAATTTTTTTTTTTTTAATCATTTCACCCCAAGCAAGACAATAATGCCACTAGGTTGTAAGCAGTTACTAGTAGTGAAAGAGAATGAGAAGACTTTAGTGACGAGAAAGGACAGGTAGAAGACTGTGATTGGTGTTGCATTTAAATTTTTGAAGATTGTAGTTTGCAGGAAGCAAGAATTTGGAAGGGAGTTCCACATGCGAGAAGTGAGAAAAGTAACTATTAGAATAGAATGTAGTGATCTCGTAATCATGAGAAATAAAAAAAAACAAAAAAAAAACAAAACAAAAAAAGCAAACCTTAATTCCCATGATTCCATACAAAAAAAAAAAGAAGGAAAAAAAAAAACTTCCCAAATGGTGGGAATTTAAACTTTTTCTTTTTTATTGGCTTCTCACAAAGAGAGCATGTGAATTTAAGCTGCTCCAGGAATGAAGACCACAGATGAGTTCTACACATGTATCACTTTTTATCATATTACCTATAATAGACTTATCACTTGCAAAAAATTTATTCATTTATTCATTCCCCATGTCAAACACAAAAATTAGAAACATTTACTAACAACAACATTACAAGAACTTTCATATATCTACTAAACTAGTACAACCAAATGCTCCCTTATTAACAATGCAATAAGGGAATTTTCATGAGTATTTTATAGTCATGGATCTTGCAAGATGCCTATTCAATCAATATCTTAAGAATTATGATTAATCAGAAAATGAAAATAGGAAAATCATGAAATTTTCATGGGTACTTCTAGTATTAGTAATAATAATAATAATTAGTGACACCATTTCATTGGAGAAATTAAAAGAAAAAAAAGGTTTCCTCTAGAAAGTGAAAGATCTCTTTTCCTTCTCCAGTCAATATATCTTGTATGATGTGTTCCTGTGAACTAATTGATTCAGTCAGTATATTTACAATCATTTTTTTTTTCTGATTTACACTATTGACAGACTACCCCTCCATAAAGATTAAATATATGAAGGTGGTCATAGACTAGATTGGTTGAATCCTTGTAATAACACAAAGAGGGATTTTCATTTATTCCTTTTTTTTTTTCTGCCTTTTAAATTTTATTTCATACTAAATTTTTTTTTATTCATTTTTATTTCTTAATTTTTTATTCAATTTGTACATTTTTAGGATGGTTCCTATTTGGCAGAATTCTTACTTGCTAAAGGATATGAGGTAAGTCCCTTTTTTTATTTTTTTTTATTTAGGTGTGTCTGTGTGCTCAGTCTAATTCATTACCCAATTTTATTAGATGCTTTTGGATAGGCTAACCAATTGCCCAAACAAAGTACAAATTATCTTTCTTATTTTATTTAAAAAAAAAAAAAATTATGTACCATGATAATGCTTAAAATATTGAGTAAAAATTTTTTTCTTTCTTTCTCTGTAACATCATCAAATAGTTAATATCAAAATAAAACTTTATTTTGCTATGCCACATCAGTGTTTATTACTATCATGTAATTTTAGTCTTGTGTATGACAGTAAACTACTTCTGACAGCAAGGCCTCTGATCAGGAGGTTGGTGGTTTTGATGAGCATGGAAGCACCTCTTAATTGCTGTTATTCCCAGCTTCACCTGGTGTGGTAGTACCTGTTAGGATCCCAACTATAGGCAAATAGTGAACTTGCAAAGAAAGACCAACAACACAATTTTAATAGTAAAATTGAAGACCTGGCATACATTGTTAAAACAATATAAAAAAAATTGCTGTCATTAATCTCATTTCTTGTAAGGAGAAACAAGTTTTTCCTCCATGTTTGATTTTGTAAAATTATTTGTAAAAAAAAAAAAAAAAAAATGAAGCTGCATAATTATAATTTAATGATGAAATAATGTCATCCCCTTGAATTATAAAATTTTAATTAAATCATACTTATTATAAAACCCAGGTTGTGTGTGTGTCTGTTCATTTATATATTGGATCGGATTTCCTACATTTTTCAACCGATTTCAACAAAACTTCACAGGACTACGTAAAATTACCTTGCAGTGATTCTGACAGTGCCAAAAATTGGAAAAACACAATTGTTTTTGCATGAAATCAATTTGAAAACAAGATTAAGAGGCATTGCTGTCACGAGAATGAAAGGGGGAAAACTCATATCGAGTTTTACTTATTATAAAACCCAGGTTGTTTGTGTGTGTGTGTGTGTGTTCCTTTATATATGGGATTGGATTTCCTACATTTTTCAATTGATTTCAACAAAGCTTCATTTTTTTTTTTTTTTTTTTTTTTTGGCAGGTAGTGTTTCTTATTGTCTTGCACACTTTTTTCTTTATTTTTACATTCAGAATGCTTTAAAAATTCCATTTACAAGACAATTGTTTATAATAAAATTCTATTTAATCAGTAGACTCATAACTATTGAAAACAATGTTTTTGTTTGAGTTTGGGTTTGACCAATTCATAAAAGAAAAAAAAAACCAAAAAAAAAACCTAATTAAGACATGCATGTCAGTCAACCTTAAACAATAATCTTTGTCAATTTTATTTTTCAGTCTTTATGATGGTCGATACTTGATCTATCTCTTACTGTTACGTCCCCGGCTCTACTGCTAGTAATCCATATGGATTGATATGCCACTAAACCAAAACAACCAACCAATATTATGTAATTTAAAATACACTGCAAAATGCCATATTGGTTACCAGTACAGAAAATGGAATCTGATGACAATTTAGGTTCTGGCAGCAGATTTACTTACTTCATATATTCCATGCCATAATCCATAGTTCTCTCTCATCACGATATATCTTCAGAAAATATTTTATTGGCATTCCACAATAATTGATAAGATTGGGTGAGTGACACCTATTAATAATTAATAGGAAATATAGATGGAATTTATAGTATAAGAGCAATTATTTCGATTAATGTTGGTCGCATATGGACATGTGACTGAGTGGTTAGAACATTTGCTTTACAACCAGGAGACCCAGGATTCGAATTTGTAAAATAAAAAATATTTCCTAAATCTCCTGAAAAGTATCATCTACTTAACATTTCATAATTCTTCTGGGTTGGGAAGGATTTTATATATATATATATATATATATATATATATATATAACAATGGGAAAGGAAAACTGAATTGGTCTTTACAGAGTAATGCTTAGCAAACAGGTCATTATTACTTTAGTAAATTTCATTCATGCTCTGTAACCTACACATACAGCCTTGTGTCACACTATGCTAAGTTTAGTTTAAAAGAAAAAAAAGGAGAGAAATATAAAACTAAATATAAGATGAATTGGTATTGATTTTCAAGTAGAAATGAATTTCTTATTTTAAAGTTTAAAATTGGAGCCATAAAATGGGCCATAATTCAGATGTGCAAAAATGAAAGTAATTTTGTTAATACTTTTAATGGCTCTTTGGAGGAATTCTGACAGACTTAATTACTTTATAGAATTTGTTCCTGATAGATCAAGAAGTAATCTAGAAGCAGTCATCCAAAGATGTATTGAACAAGGTTCTATGACCATTAGTGATGGTTGGTCCACTTATTGAGCTAAAAAAAAAAAATAAATAAATGATCTGGGGTACAGTTACAAAGTTATAATTCATGAAAATAATTTTGTTGATTTACATGAATTTTTAGACTTCATTTAGCATGAAACAGACTCTCACCTCTGGGTGTTGAGATATATATATATATATATATATATATATATATATATATATATATATATCTGTTTCATGCTAGATACATCTAGCATGAAACAGACTGTCGCCTCTAAGTGTTGACTTCATTGTTCACTTTTTATATTTACATATGCTCTATCTCTGATATTGAGCACTTTATCCCATAAATATAGCACACCTTAAGACTATATTTCTTGTGTGTGTGTATATATATATATATATATATATATATATATATATATATATATGAAATTTTTCATATTTCTTGTGTGTGTGTGTATATATATATATATATATATATATATATATATATATATATATATATATATATATATAGGATGCGATGGGTAAATTGTCGCTATTTTATATTTTTAATTTTGTGCATGTGTGTTGTTTGTTTTTGATTTTGTTGACTGCATAGTATAGTAGGGTCAGTTGGGCACCATCTATGAGAAAAAGAGCACCATGACGCAATTCACTCTACCAGAAATTTAGAAATGGCATGCTGTACTGCTTGGCATTCACACCATAAGCTCCAATATGAACATTTCAGTGTTTGGTTGTAAATCTGAGGACAGTGCAGAGGATTCAGAAAGAGTTTGATCAATCCAATGGTGATTATGAAGGTGTCTGAAGTGATGGTGACGTTATGCCACCATTCATTTTTCTCCACAGAGCCTCAGATGATAATGCTGCCCTGGGTTAAGAGGGTGGTTGCTGGAAGACCTTGTATTTGCCTTGATAAAGTCCATCAGAGGATGAAACTTGTCAGCTTTTTCTTTTGTTTTTATTTATAGTCCTTTTACAGATGTATTAGTTATATTTGAATTTTTATGCACACACACACACAATTAGTTGTAGGATAATAATATGTTTGGGTAAAAATAAGTAACACAGAACAATGAATTTAAAACAAGCGGCAATTGTATACATGTACTAACAAAAGTAATTGCATGTATATACAATTGAAATGAAAGGAAAAGACATTGAAACTAGCACTGTGTGCGTGTGTGTGTGTACATGCATGTCTATATGTATGCATGCATGCAATACAGGTATGGGAAAGTTCAAAAGTCAGCAGAGGACTATGGAAGCAAATGTGCCACCTCAGCAGTATTCTTTATTGACATTTGAATACATTTGGAAAGGAGTTAAAATGAGAAAAAGAGAATATACTTGCCTTTTTATAGACTTAAGAGCGTCTTCTGACAAGTGCATTTGGCAGAGCAAAGTGGAGTAATCCACAAATATATATATTTACAGGTTCAGTCAAAAGTAATGTCTGTTTCCTGTTACAGTTTTCTGTTGATTGTTTTGCCATCTGTATTATAGGAAGGTAGAAATCAATGAAAGATATGTTTGTCTAAGAAACTGTATGAAGCTGTTTTAGTTGCAGTGTTGAAAGTGCCATTCTTTGCGATTAATAAACAGGAGTGGAACATGCATTTGCAAAGTTTCATATTCTTTTCCTCAAACTTTGCCACAATTTGAACCTTCAATTTCTGAACAGTGCAAGACTTTTCATAATAAACAAGGTCTTTGATGAGGCACCAAAGAAAGAAATCTGGATGTGCAAGATCTGGAGGAAACGGACATGTCCCAGTGGGTACGTCCTTTTCTCAATATTCTTGGAGGGAGAGAAAGAGGAAGGAAAATGTCACCCTTTTATTGACTAGTACCACCTAGTGGCATTTGAAAAAGCCAAATAATGTAAGAAAATTTTCAGTTCATTTATTACTAGCATCATGGAGAAAATGTATTTTTTCTTTTTTTTATTATTACTTTATTTTATTAATTTTATTTCCTTTTCCCACACCCCTGTAGCTTATGGGTGTGCTCAAAAATGGACAGCTGGCCATTTATTTATTTATATATATATATATATAGTGGAGGGGGGGCAGAACAAATATTTGTGTGCATACAAATTTTTAATTTATTGTAATTCCAACTAATGAATAAACATAATTTTCATATAATTAACTGTACACAGATGCATAAATAAATATGCATAGAAAACAGAAAAAAAATTGATTTAATAGAAATAAATCCCATTTATCCATTTTAATGGGTGAAAAATATTTGTACAATGCAAATTTCAGATTTTTAAACTTTTAAATTGCTTTAATACTCTAGATTATTCGACTGGAATATTGTAGAATGTTCCAATTATGTTATCAGTAGTTACTTTTAGTCTAAAAAAAAAATACAAACAGAACATTTTGTAATTGATATTTGTGCAAGAAGGTTATCATCATGAAAAGAGGTAAAGAATTGACAAATTAACAAAAAGAACTGATTGTTAATCTCTGGAAAGAAGGTAAAAGTTACAGGAAAATCTTAGGCAACCTGAATATTCCATTTACTACCATTAGTTCATTCATTGCAAGCTATAAAAAACTCAAAACTGTTGAAAACCAAAGAACAGGTGTTCCATGGAAGATTTCTTCAAGATCTTTGAGGAAATTAACATGTCAAATTAAACAAAATCCAATGGTAACTCGTCAAGAGTTTCAGGAGGATTTGCT